ATATATATGTTTTTTATATACATATGTATACACCCTGTCCCCAGTGGAACAGAAATTTATCCGTGCCCAATTTAAACTCAGTATTAAGATTTTAAAGTCTGGTTCTTGAACCACATGGTTACTGGAGCATCTCTGTTTCCAGGAGGGAGACTAAAGAATGAAGAAGAGGGAATGAACCCTGCAAAATGTGCCACGCTACCGGACAGCAAGGGCTGTGGCTGTGGACTAGAGCAGGCAAGGGAGAGATTCATCCTCTGAGCCCATCTGCAGCCATCTCACCTCACAGGTACTGACAGGTCACACTTTTGGGCAGAAGTACTTGTGGCACCTACTGCTGCAGCTACTTCTTCTCTTACCTGCTTTTCTTATGATGCAGGAGGTGGACGCTGAGCCCAGGGAGTTTGTGGCCACACAGGTGTAAATGCCGAAATCATCAGCACTAACAGAAAGAATGGTTAAAAGCTGGAAGTTTTTGAGCGTAGCTGAGATGAGGATCCTGCTGCTGCTGTGGACAGGTATGCCATCTGAAAAACAGAGCATAGGAGAGATAAGTGCCCTGCCAATTTATACCTAGGTGTCTAAACCCTCCCTGCACCCCTGTCCCAGCAGTTAGGGACTCCCTTAGAGGGATGCCAACGTCACCTCTGAACCAGTCGATGTGTAGGGAGGAGTGAGCCGCCGTCCGGCACGACAGTGTCACGCACTGCCCGACGGCAGCAGCCTGATCGATGAGCTCCTCAACGAACAAAGGTGCTGCAAAGAAGAGGAAACATAGCAATTCAGAGGGGCCCCGTGGGCTATGTGGAAAAGAAGTGTATGCAGGACATCAGAAAGCATTTTGGATTGGTTCAGGAACATTTCTGGTTCATGCTCTGGCATTCCTTTGACAACATTTGGCATGCAGGTGCAGGAGGCCTGTTCAGCTCCACGGATGCAGTGTGACTGCTCATGCATGATAATCCAGATGGGTCTTTGAAGGGCCGTGGGGAACATCTGCATTGCCCAGCCCTGCTGGTACAGCTAAGGCAGCAGAACAGCTCAGAGGAGAGAGAGAGCATGTCACAGCAAGAGTTTTCTTCTGGCCTAGCTTAAATGTGAGGGCAGAACCAAATGGTGGTATTTCAAGGATGAGGGAATCAGATCAAGGCAACAGAAGAAGAGAGAAGAGATAAAAGGTGGATATAGAAGGAGAAAAAAACCCCATAGAGCATCTAATCTGCTGCTGTCTCCATGGGAAAGGTGGGAGCTCAGGTTTTCTTCTGTCTTTCTCCAGGATTTTTAATCCGCAGTGCCCAGGAGCTGCCAGCCTCACACACCTGCCCTTCCCAGTGCTTGGCTGGGCTCTGCTGAATACTGGGGCATTGACCTGGCCTCAGCCAATGCTCCTGCTAGAGTCAAGGGGAAACTTGCCTGGGCAAAAGCAAGTTCAGCTTTGCTGACACGCCGTTTGGGACTGACACGCCGTTTGGGGCTGTCCCACCATTTTTCACTTCATGGCTCTGTGGCAGCGTGTCTGGCCCTTACACAGGCAGGCAGGACTGGAGCGTAGGAATTCACAAGTCCCTGCTTCTGCCATCCCACCCGTGGATACTCCATTTATTCTCTTTCTAGCTTACACATAGATTTTATTCCTTTGCAAGGGCTTCCTAGAACGGCTCCAATTTGCAAGCAATGCCAAGATGAGACAGTTTTAGCAAGGACATAGTTATGATGTGAACAGAAGAGGCTGGTTTACGTTGCCTGAGCTGGTCCAGGTCATCTCAAGACAGTCATTGCAGATCCATCCTTAGAAACTGTCATATTCACTAGTGATACTTCATGATAAAACTAACTGGTGACTTATATGCAGTAGCAATACCTTTCTCCTTTGGCGTGAGGCTTGGTAGCTTGAATGACGAGAGTGCTGATTTCCTCTTCAGAGATCCTTCAGCTCCTGTTAACAGCTCTTTTTCTACTGCCTCACTTCCCAGCTCACCAAACTCTGTTTCAAAGAAAGGATGAGAAGTCATTCAAGGCCATCCTTCTCCCTGTGGCATCCACTTAGAGCAGACAGTTCTGCTGCTGGCACATAAATAGCTCAGCAGTCACAGCTTTCGTTATTAATGAGCTTTTCAGTCAATACAGAAGGCTGTGACAGCTATTACAAGCAGAATGATGTCCAGAAAGAGCAGGGATATCTAGGGATGGCAGAGAAGAAAGGACAAATTTTGTCATTCAGTGTCCTCGACTTAGGTAGCCAGGGTGACTTCACCAACTTCTCCCAGTCACCGTAGCTTTAAAGATTTACCATGGTCAAATGGTAACTGCAGAAGAAATTGCAGCAAGGAAAGCGTCATCCAGGCCTGACCTGCTTTTGTGCAAACTCAGACAGGGGAATTTAAGCCACTTCTATCAGCAGATTAACCCAGCTGACTCCGGACTAAAGTGAGCCAGTAAGACACAGCTAGTGGTGGGGCTGGAGACTGCTAAATTCATAACCTGCCACTGCCAGATTTGCAATGGCTGTCTAACTACCCTGGGGAAAAGGAAAAGGCAGATTTAGTAGAGCCCGGTTATAGCGGCAAATCTATGAAGGCACGGAGTAAAATATTCACCTTCCTCTGCCTCTGGCTCAGGAGACATCTTTCCTTTTAGGATTCTTGAAATGTGGGCAACAGAAGCTTTTACTTTCTTCTTCAGACTCTGTTCCACTGACTGCTCCACTGAATGAGACCTTGCATATGGCTTAAAGAGTCCTGGCTTGTTGTAGAAGGAGCTTTTCTGCTTACCACTTGAGTCCTTTTGGAGGCCATACATTTTTTTATGACTCTCTGACTCTTTCAATAAGTTAGTTGCCTTTGAACCCTCAGATATTCCCAAATGGTTCTTCCTGTTCCTGTCCTCTGCCTCTTCTCTGATGCACAGTCGTTTTTCCTTATGCAAATGTCCTGCAGGAGGTGACCTTGCCCTTTCGCCAAAAGGTATAAACCGTCTACCAGTTGGTTTGGGCGGAGGCTTCCTATAGTTCATAAATTCAAATGGAAAATAGACAATGTCATACAAGTCAGAGAAATTCAAATAGGCAGGCTCTACCTCTGATATGTCAAATTTTGGAGTTCCACTGCTGAGACTGGGTGTTTCGTCCGACAGGTCTTTGATTTTCACTAAAGAAACTTCTGGGTGTTTACCAGTGTCCTTGCTCACTGACACTTGGCTGGGTCTTTTTCCAGTGTCCAAACTATCTGTTGAGGAAACACTCACTTGGCTAGAAGTGGGGCTCTCAAACGCTAAGTCCTCCAGATGCTCACATTCATGAGGAACTGTCAGGGCTCCCTGCCCTTCCAGTACCACTGACTCCTCACTCACTACAAGATAGGGTTCTGCAAGGTCATCCAGCTCAGAGACTTCTCCTCTTTTACCCCCTTGTACAGAAGGGAAGGAGGTGTCCGTGGGTGCTTGGCTACCTGGACCTTCATGGAACATCTCTGTGGGAGGAGAGATGTGCTTTCTGTATTCCTCCTCACCAGAAACTGACTCTGCCCAAACATTCATCTCTTCAGAAAGCGAAACCATCTCATCCACTAAGCCCTCCAGCACAGCAGACTCCTCATCACTGTAAAAAGAAGACCTGTGGTGTGAGAGCTCCTGACTTTGATCCCTGCGAACCAACGATGGGACAGTTTTTCCAGCTTCACAGCTTCCGCTTTCTGAGGCAACGCCTCTACCCTCACCATAAACCTTGGGTTGTTCCTCATGTTCTAGCTCATAGACTGAAGCTGGAGAAACTCCTGGTTGTGAAGCAGTTAAGTCACTTGGAGGCCCACCCTCCAGACCAGCAGAAACTCCGCCACTGGGACAGGCAGCCCTGTGCTGCTCAAACACCTGACGTCCAGCCTTGGGGAAAGGAGCAGGCCTTGTCTGTCCAGCTGCTTGGCTTCCACTTGCTGTCACAACAGGTCTCACCTCCCTGTGAAGCGATGCCTTTGGATGTTCTCGCTTTTCACTCTCACAGACTGAAGGGAGGCCAGTATTTTGGGAGGATGCAGTTCCAGCCGGGTGTCTGCTCTCCAGAAGAGCAGGCACCCTGCCACTGCTTTCAGAAACCTTCTGGTGTTCAGCTCCCTCGATTTCAGCCTCCCTGGGAGCACCCTCGGTGACAGCTGAGGTTTCACTCCTGAGAGCAGCAAGCCTCTCCTTGCTACGAGCTGGCCGTTCCCTTTCAGCCTGCCGTGCTCCATCGGAGACTGAAGTCAGCAGTGATTTTGGTGGTGGGATTTTTGGAATAGCGAGTTGCTCTCCCTTCAGGATGGATGATGCCGTGTCTCTGTGAACAGGAGCCCTCTTGTGCACTTGGCTTTCACCATCATGGGCTGACGGTGGAGTGATTCCTGTGATATCTGGTCCTTCATCCTCCAGGACAACAGGTCTCACCTCTTTATAGGTCTTCAGCTTCTGATGAGCACCTTCATCGGCTGTGTGCAGAGCAGTTATGGTACCTGGCTGTTTGCTCACCAAGACAGTATTTGCTGGAGCACTTTGACCAGGAAGTTCCTGACTTTTATCTTTACAAACTGGAAGTGAGTCGGTTTCTGTTTGTGGGCCAGTTAAAACAGCAGAGTGTTCATGCTCCATGAGACCAGATCTGGCCACATGATGAGTGGAAGTCTTCTCATGTGAATGTTTCTGCCTTTTGTCTTTCCAAGGTGGGACTGGGGCTGTCCTTTTGATAAGCAAGCTTCCACTTTTTAGATCTGGGTGGATGTCGGTACTGTGAGCAGACTCCTGGGGCAGATACACGCCTCCCTTACTCGTAGGGGCTGACGGGGAGGTGGTCTCTGACTGTGTGAGAGTTGAAGTGGACTGTTTGCCCTCACGAAAAGCGGTGTCAGAGGCACTGTCAGGAGAAGATATACCCTCCATGCTTTCATGTTTTTGAGCTGATGATGCAGTTGCATCTGAACACTGGGCAGTAAGAATGGGGCTTTTGCCTTCCAAATCTTCAGCTTCCTCCTCAGCGTAAGTAGCTTTTGACTTCTTCAGTAAGTGTTTCCTATTCTCACTCCTATGAGGTGACACTGGAAGTCTCTCTAGCTGTTGGACAAAACCAGCTGGGCACACAGTACCCTCACATTGTGTGGAAGGAGGGTGCTGCTCTTCTGAACAATCCTTGCTGGCTCTCCTAAAGTCCTGCTGCTTTGAAGTGTCTACAGAACATCCCTTGCCAGGCCCTGCAGAAATGTCACAGTGGTCGCTGCCTTCAGGGCAGCTCTCCTGTGACAATATATCACAGTCTTCTTCCAAAATATCTTGTTCCCTCACTGATCTTGAGGCTCTCAGCCTATAGTCATCCAGGGAACGGCTTCGGCTAGCGCCAGCAATGGCAGGATGTGGTGGTTTCCTCGCAGTGTCAAATGAAGCTGATTTGGTCAAGGAACCAAGCAGACTTTCCCTGTGATCATCTCCATCGTCAGATTTTCCTTCTTCTTCTTCTTCCAGTTCGAACTGCTCTAGAAGGGGTTCACGGAGACCACTGAGGGGCACCTTTGAATATCCAGCTTTCCGGAAAGTCCTTCTGGCTCTGTCAAGATGTCTTCTGAACTCCCTACCTGGTGAGGAAGGCCCCCTTGCAGGTAGCTCAGCTGCTTGGCTGTAGAAAGTGCTTTTAATGACACTTTGTCTAGGAACACAGACAGGTGCCTTTTCTGTCCCATCTGCAGCCATTTCAATTCTATCCTTATCAGATAAAAATATCTCTGATTTTTCTTCCTGGCATAGATGTGATTTGCTTTCTCTGGGTGTCCTCACTGATGAAGGCTCAGCAGCACTGCTTCTTTGGGACTGCTCTGCACTTTCATCTTGAAGTCTGGAGTGGGCTCCCTCCTCTTTCTCCTTTAAGATACTTGCCATGAGCTCTTTGCTTTCTGTAGGTGATTTGTCCTGCACCTCGGCTTTCATGGAAGCATACTTCCTCCTCATGGGTTTTACTGGTGTGACTGAGATTTTGGAGCGCTTCTCTTCACTTGCATGCTTTGGAGGCTCCTGATGGGTTGGTACATCAAACAGGGACAAGTGCAGTTCGGGTGTGGAGCCAAAGTGCCTCTTCTTGGGGAAATGTGAGTTCTCGTTGTCTGAGGAGGAGCCGCTGGTACTGGACGAAGTGCTTTCTTCAATGAGATGCCGGGAGATGGCCAGGGAGGTGTTATCGTGAGTTCTTTCTAGGATTTCTGGGATAGACCGCATCACCAGGATGGATTTATAGCACATCAGAGACCGCTGAAAGGCAAACCAAAAACCAGCACAATCAAATGCAAGCAAGGTGGGAGTATGGTAGAGCAAGTATATCAAATGACCTTCTGCACTCTTCAATACCACAGATGCTAGTTCAATAACACATGGCCTCGCTTTTGTACATATCGTCAATTCAGGCCTCATTTGCTCTCCAAGTCTTCCTCTTCTCTCATTCACATGGTGAAACTATATTGACTTCAGGGGACATAGTTGCTGTTGTGAACAGGGAAGAAGGACCCTGCTTGAGGTTTTCAAAGACAACCTATCCACTCAAAGCAGATGGAAATGGAGTTTTTAACAGAACACAACAGATGAAATCCTAGCTGGAGTAAATGGCCTTACATCTGTCGGTTGCAGTACAACCTACAGTGACTTAGGCCAACAGAAGCCCTACCATACTGTAGAAGGTAGGATTCATCTGCTCTACCTTCTGCCATGTGACATGTCTCAGTTGAAGTTGAGCAGCTGGCCTCCCCTTACAGCTAACAGAGAGAAATAGGCATTTTCAGAAAACAATCAATCTGATTATTTTAGCCAAATTCAGGCTAAAGAAGAGGAATCTTCTTGGGACCCGTCTGTAAATCAGCGCCAATTGCAAAGGCAGCTGAGGGTACCTGACTTAGACACAACCATGCACCTTACAGGACCTGCATTAGACCAGATGATTTCCAGGCAGGAAAAGCCTAGATAATTTATTTCTGCCGCATCTGTCAACCACTCTCTCCTGGGCTTGTTCCCCATTCATAGCCCAGCTGAAATCTCTGCTGTGCTCACTGTCCTAGCCCGATAGATTTTCAAAGATGCAAACGTAATTAAAAACATGTATAACTAAAAAGAACCAACATAAATTAAGGCCAACTCACCTGCCACTTGCTCCGAGCCACAATGAATTTGAGCTGCTTGGTATTAATGAAATGAGCTGCTTCAAGGGGGAGATTATGCTGCCAGGTGGAATGAGAGGAAAATCATTGGTTAAAAAATCTTGACCTAATTTCTTGAGAAGGTTTTTTTTTTTTTTAGGATTCTCTCCTTCCAGAATTGTTTAATTTAGGAAACTTACAATAGACCAAATGCTACAATCCCATCATGGCTAAACTGTAGACAATCTCAGCTTTTTCAATAAAAGCAAGCCCTGCATGTCATTAAATTATTTTTTTTTGGTTAATTTTTAGCTTTTCTCCTTAGCAATTTAAGGTGTGGCAATATAAACCATAACTTTGGTCTTCAAAGCCACAGTTTCCACTCTATAAAGACATGTTAGATCTGCTCATGTCAGTAGTAATCTTTATCTTTTGAAAGGAAAGATATCTTGGCATGTAAACACCAATGCATCTCCTCTTTCTGGACAGACATACCTGAGCTTCTCTGTAGGACAGAAAGTAGGAGACCAAGAGAAAAAATAAACGAGCAAAATAACATCAAGCAGCTTTAAGAGCTGCCCCTTTAAAATGTCTCTTGCAATCTCACTATTTTTAATGACTCTAATTAAGAACTGGGACAAACTTACCGTGAACCACTTGTGGGAAAGACAGTCCAAAGCACTAGGCCTGGCTCTGATAAGAGAAAATATCACTATTTTAGTAGCAAATCACTTCCAACAGCAACTGCAAGATCTTCCTGAAGGTGCCTGCTTCATGTGGACACACACGTACACTTTTGTGTCTGTCCTTAGGCTGCTGTTTTAGAGCTGAGAAGCCAAACAGATAGACAGAGGCTTTCAACCCGAGGTTTCCTTCCCTTGAGGTGAAATAATCCTCTTTTTTTTTCAGTCTGAGACTCCCTGCAGACCCTCAAGAAGACCCATGGCACTCTGCAGGGCATCAAGAGCAACCCTAAGAGTGACTTTGACTCTTTGGATGGCCAGAGAAAAAATGGCTTTGAAGGCAGAAAGAATAGAAATGAAATTAAAAGGCAATCGCCTGCAAACACACCTTCAAGCTGCCTTTTGTACTTGAAATTGTTTAATGGATGTGGTTAATATTGTTTAATTCTCACATAATTCCCTCTATACCAGTCCTTGCTCTTCCCACTTCTCTACATCATCTCAGGAACTCATCTTCCTGGAGGAGTCAGGGAGTAAGGACACCAATATGCCAGAAACAGGCCAATTGGGCCAATTTCCATGTTTCATTTTGGATAATGGAGAATAACGAAGAAGAATCAGGGCATAACGCACCACGTCTCACTCAGCTTTCTGCTTTTCAAAACAAGCGCAACGCCGATGGGCTGGACTGGCCTGCTGAGACACCAACATCTTTGCCCACTGGCGGTAGGAAGCAGAAAAGTGCACTCACGTGGGGCGCTGCTGTAGGATCCCTTTCATGAAGTCCTTTGCGTCTTCACTCAGGTGAACAAAATCAGGAATGGTCCATGAAATTTCCCCGTTCTGGATATTTAGAAGGGTTCCTCTGTCGTTCTCCCCAGCAAATGGAGACTTGCATGTTAGGCTTATTTGTTAAACACCATAAAATAAAAGGAGACAGACTTTAGAGTTTTGTTTGCTGTTGAAATGACAGAAGCACAAGTGCTTACAGGGAGCCTTAAAATGCTTGAGGGACTCCGTGCGTGGGACTTGCAATGCTGGTGAGCCGTGCATCCACTAACAGAGCATCCTTCACCCCAGCATTACACGGCACTTAACTGCATTATTTACCCCCGTTTCACAGATAAGGAATGAAGGGTTTGGTTTTGCACAGCTACAGCAGGGCGTTGGGTAGAACAGGCAAGGGGAAGACTGAACCTCCTTCACCGCTCTCACCGCTAACTGCAAGGAGAGCAGCTGTCAGGTCTTCAAGCAGGGACAATGACCAAAGCCCTGGGCAACTAAGAAAGAGTGAAAGGAGAAAACCACAAAAGAAATTGCCCTCATCATAGAAGGCCTCAATGCTTCCCTCAAATCCCTCACTTGAAGGTCCTGGAGAGCTCTGACTGGCAAAAGGATATTGAATAGGTCTTTCCAAGAATTATTTACCTTAAATACGTGATGACTCCAACAGACCTGAGGAGAGAGGGAACACAAACATCAGGTGTTTGTCACTACTTCTCCATCCTTCTCAAGCACACAGCCCCTCTGCCTGCCACTAGACACCCTGGCACAGTAAGATCACCTTCTCCTCCTCACCTTTCCATGGCAAATAAATCCCGAAAGCTATTGTTTTCACCCTTCAATTTTTTTCCCTTCAACATTTTTGAAAAATTGTTCTCCATTTTTAAAGCACAGATAGAGGAGAAAACTCAAACTACTTTTTTGGACTTTGCCTTTTCTAGAAAGCCCCTTAGGATCATCCTCCCTAATTACTGCCTCTGATAAAGATCATCTTCTCAAAGATGCTCCTTTGCATTAATTAGCTGTCAGTGTTACAATTATGGTTGAAGAAAATAGACAGAAGGAGCTTTAAAAAGCCCTGATGGGGTTTGGATTCTCAGTGTTCACTTTCAGTTTCCTGAGTTGTATCACTACGCTGTTTATGTATTAACAATAAATCTAAATTCAGGCTGTCTAGGGCAAAAGCTTTTTAGAAAGATGACGGGTTACCAGATGTCGGTTGCTTTTGACACTGGTGACTGAGAAACAATTTCTGGGGCAACAAACTCCGGAGACCCGTATTTGCTGAACTGAGGCTCAAAGGGCGTGATCTTCTGAGCAAATCCGAAGTCACAGAGCTTAAGATCTTCCCTTTCAGGATAAACCATGAGGATATTCAGCGGCTAGTAAATGAAATAAAATAAAAATCAACTTTTCTTGAAAACAGACAGTATTTTCAGTTATAAGTAGGAATAATTCACATAGAGAACGCCCATTCCCTGACTGAGAGGCTAAGATAAGGTAGACCTGCCATTGCACATCATTACCTTGATGTCCAAATGAAGGATGTTGTTGTCATGAAGATATTTGATTCCTTCCAAAATTTGCTTGATATACAATTTGACCTAAAAATTAAATTAATTATCAAACAATTATTAAACTTTAATAAGAGGGTCTCTGATTCCACCAACATTGTTAATATATGAGAGAGGGAGAGATTGAACTAGAAATACATTTAAAACTAGAATGAACTTCTTATATTAGTCTTGCAGTTGAAATAATTTGTGACTCAAACATTACTCTGTAGAATGAAGCTGTGTCTTGTATGTGACCATATTGCCCTGCTGGAGCCTTCTGTATGTGAAAAAGCCCTTACTTTTGAAAAAAACAACCCTACAAATGTGCAAAAAAGAGATACAGAGGTGCTCAAGTTTGATGAACCTTATCAATTGCCTAACAACTCAAACTCGGCGCTGGCTTGGTGTAAATCAGGCAAACCCATTTAAAACACAAACACATCTTAAAACAATGTTGCAAACCTATTTCTTGACCATATGTAGATTCAGTCTGACAAGGAGTGAAGATTCATAGCTAGCTTCAGCTTTGGAAGTCCTCTACCTTTGACATTTTATAGTGTCAGCTGACTTTTGATCTTTAAAAGTCCCTTCCAACCCAAACCATTCTATGATTCTGATATTTTCCTCTGAGTATTTCTAAGAAAAATCAATTTTACCAATAAATATGGGACACCTGGCTGCTAGATGGGAGATGCGAAACATTTTGCACTTTGAGCACCAAGGGTCTCAAGAAAACGCCTTAGAAACCATAATTTTAGCCCTTGGTTTGGAGACTGAAAGGGAGTGGATAGAAGTATAGTTGCAAGGGGATAAAGCATTATTAAACAAGTAAAGATACAGGAGCTCCAGGTGACAGATAGCAAAGAATTGATGATAATAGAGCAAATATCATCTGTATTAGGCTGAATGCAATGCTGGTAGTCAAAACCACTGGCTGTTTCTAGTTATTCCCCAACGAAACTCAGCTTAGTAATGAAAGCTGATGGGGACACATTTTAAAGGCTGATTCTGTTTTGAGAGATTATCACCAGCTCAAAGACATTCCTCATAGTCAAAAAGGAAAATGCAGCTTAAAGGTGCTCTGCTGGTACCCACCAACTCTGGACTTTCAAATGAGAAAGAAAGATTACCTCTGCTTCAGTGACGACACTCTTCTTGAATAAACGGTCAAGGAGCTCTTCGCTGGAGCATCTGACAATGGCATTAAGGGAAAACAGAACTACAGTTAAGTGCCTATTTTTAGTTTGTAGTCTGTCCAGCTCGCAGCAGAATTCACGAGGTGATCTCAGGCAACGTGACGTGCATGTAATTCATTAAAATCTCTATTGCATCAGTGTCCTTCTTGCAGAACTGGGCTGCTCTAAACCTGTGCTCCCTACAAGCAGGAGCGTGGTATAACTTGTGCCAAAATCTACCTGTTGGTTATGGGCTTCTCTGCTCTGCACTACATATTCCTGGTGCTCACCCAGACTGGATCTCATGGAAACAGAGTCCTTCGCTTCTAGACATTTGGTGCTTAACAGCTCCTTCACACTTGTATATACGTGTACCATGATTTTTCCTAAACCAGCAGAAACATAGTACTTCAGTGAAGATCTTGCAGACCTGTGTCATCCTGCAGTGCAGAGAAAGACTGTGTGTGTCTTTTTATCTCAGGCAAAACCTAAAAATGGTTAATTGCTTAGTTACTTAATAAATGAGCTCTACCTAGTACTTCCCAGCCTCCTCGGACAAGCAGCACGGGAAAGGATACAACTCCAGAATCAAAATCAGTGTTTTCCGCGTTTCAAACTGATCCAGGAGCCTGGTAATTCTGTCGTGGGACAGAGAGGCAAGAATATCCCTCTCTTGATGCGCTCGAGCCTTCGTTTTGCTTCGTAGAGGTATGAATTTGGCAGCACAAGACACTCTGTTCCCTTTGTGTACAACTCGTTTCACAAAGCTGAAGCACCCCCTGTGTAAAAATCAAAGGACAAGCCCTGCTCAGACCTGGTTCAAAGCCCAGCAGGTGTAGACCTTCCCACCTCCCAGCCTTTGACAGCTCCCTACTGCTCAGGGATGAAATTCTGCAACATAAAAAGCTCTTTTTCCTGTATGTGAGGTGCTATTGCCCTCTCCTGGCTGTCTCCAAAACTAAGCAGCGAGTTCACATCAAGGGAGAAGCTGTTTCAGGTGATACAGCCTTGTGCTGACAAAGGCTGATGCTCTTGGATCCCTTGGACAGACACCGTGCTTGTGCATACATGTCTATGGGCTTGTGATGCTAACATTGCCAAGAAGCCAGACCTGGGCACCTATCCTGCCAGCCTCTGGCTGGTATTTTTTTCTGGTTGGAGCTACCTGGACCTATGGGCTGTATGGACTCTCCCATCCTCTGTCAGAAACCTCAGGAAAGTGTTCCCAGCACACCTGAAACAGTGTGACCTCCCACTTCTGCTGGTACTTTCACGTTTTCAGACTTTTTCACAGCTGGGCCCACCTCTGCCTCTGGTTACCTATGCTCAGCAGCTCAGATGGGCAATTAGATATTCTCCTGCAGGGATGCTATAAGGTTGGAAAATTCATTTACCTTCCAATCTCCTGCTTAACCTCATAAAGGGAATGGAGCTTTCTCCTAGTGGCCACTTTCTTTGCTGCTTGGTCTTTCTTAGCTTTAGAAACAAAGGAAAATATATGTTAATATTCAAACAATGCCTTGCTAATAGTGTGCAAAGTTATTGCAGGACAATTTAAGGCAGGAAAGAATTACAGATTTTCTCTAAACTTCTGCACAGAACTAGTGGAGCTGTTCAACGACAGAACCTGTCAATATGAACTTTGGGACTGCATCTTCACCTGACATAAATCAGAAGAGCCAGGCTAAAGAGGAAAACATCACCAGAGACACGTTCCCACTAATTTCTGTGGCCCAGTGTATCAGTTTGTCGTGTTGTCTGAAGCAGAGAGAAAAAAAAAATATCTTTTCTGTGTATATATGTGGAGGTCATTAAATTGTTTGTTCTTAAACTGGATCCTGCCATACCGGTAATACACAAATGCTACGCAGGGATACAGAGCAGATACCGTATGGATACAGAAGATGACTGCAACAGAGTACATATTGCAAGGGCTATGGAAGCCACTCCTGCAGCCGACAGAATGACCTTACCTTCGTGTACAATAAGCTCTGCTTTGCACAAAACCTCTCCTCCTGCATTTTTGGCCACACAGGTATAAACACCACCATCTTCCGAGACAGCATTGTCCACCACTAAGAAATACGTTGTTCCTTCCTTCCCTTGGTGGAGCCTGTTGCTGTCTGTCAGCAACGAAGTGCCCTGAAAGAATGAAATGACATTTTGGCACCGGGAAAACCAAGATGGAAGTGGGTGCTGCTTCTTTCCAAGAAATGAGATACAGGAGCAGAGCTACAGCACAGACCATTTCGGCTAGCAAGTCTCTAGCAAAACTGACAAAATGCTGGCTGAAGAAGTCCCCCATGTCTAACCATTTCTCTGCTTCCATGTTACCCAATAACATAAAATGCCAGATAAATATATATAATACAATAAATGTAAAGTGATGCAACCCTATTCCCCCCCACGAAATGTCAGTCTCTGAGCTGTTCCTTATTACACTGGAGCAAAACTTTGAGTTACAGTAGATCACTCCACAGCAGCTCCAGCTCAGCGCTTGGCGGCAGTCAAAAAGTACCAGATGTTAGAAATTATTAGGGAAGAAATGAAGAATAAGACAGAAAGCATCCTCTGATAAATCCTCAGTTTGCCCAGGGTGTGGTACTGGTGCAGCAATGTTCTTTCAGTAACAGGTTCCAGATGAGGATTGACACAGCAAGTTGGGGCTCTTCAGCCTGGAAGAGAGGCTCTAGCAATACGGCATGACGGAGCTGTATGGAATTGTGAGTGGGCAGGGATTAACTTTTCCTGGTACAAGACGTAAGAGCCAACACATGAAGCTTGTGGTAAATATGTACAGAACAGCCAAAAAGAGGTACTAGAGAGCTTTACTGTGGGTTAGTAAATAGATAAAAGTTCAGCTAGGTTGTGACAACTCTGAGCTGAAAATGTCAGAGATTGCAAGAATATTAACAGGGTGTATCATATATTCTTGCCTTGTTCTTACGCTTTTCAAGGCGTTCTGGTGTGTACGTGCGCGTGTGGCTGTGTGTGGGGAGGGGTTCTTTGCATTTTTGCTTGTTTTTCAAGGTTATTTTCTTTGTCTGAGTAGCTCATCCTTCCACTTTCCTTTCAGAAATTAAATGAAATAAAACTTGTGTGTACAAAACACTTAGTTGGACCAAAGAGTTACAGACAATCATTATAGAACACCACTGGCTTATTTCAGGGGCACAACAATATTATGAGGAATAATGAATTACTTATCCTTCCTTTCTGTGGAGTATTAATTTTCCATAGTCACACTCATTTTACCAATTAGCTGCAAAAAAGACACAGAGCCTGGAAGTCACGCTGACAATTGGAATAAACCACTCTTAATCCCATCCCTGACCCCCAAACTGCAACACACATCTTGGTGGAACCAATCTCCCTTCCTGCCCATCTTGGTCCCTCAAACCATCTTGGTCGCCCTGTTTGTGAAGGGAGCCACAGTGACACTGCAGATGACACTGGGCGAGAAGCACGGTTGGTGGTTCCAGCGAGAGCTGCAGCTGGTTCAACAAGGAATTCCCCACAGAAGTACTGCACTACAGTCCTTTCTGCGGTCCTCACACCAGCCAGAGAAAAGCCTGCACTTACCTTAAACCACAAAACGGTAGGCGGAGGGGTTCCTTCAATGACTGCCTGAAATTTGGCACACTCCCCAGAATTCACCTGCACATCCTCTATTGTCACTTGCATATAGGGCGGACCTGGTGAGACACAAGGGTTTGCTGCGTGCACAATACCATAACTGTGCTGATGCAGGTGGAGTTACTCAAATGGGATTGATAGGACTGACCATTTAGGATATGACAGTAGCTTAATGTCAAATCAAGAGCTATCACAGCAATATATTTGTGTTTCTTTATACTGGCATTGCTGCGAGGCTTACTATCTTCGTGTTTATCTGTTACTTTTTGTTTGATAAACAGTTATTGCTCAAGAAATGGAAGTAATTAAAAAAACAGTCGTCAGGAGTTGTGACTAAAAGAGAAGACAATGGGACATGGGAAAGGGAAACAAGGTTCTTTCTTACTTGTCGGGGTTTTCTCCTCAGTCTTATACACACAAGTTCTTTCTGTGGTCTCAATATAAACTTCACTGTGTACATCCCAGACCACATCTCCTTCTCTTCTGTACCAGTCTCCTGCCCCCGTGGCTGGTGATGTTCTTTCATGAAGCCCGAGAGAAAAGATCGTTACGTAGTCACATAAAACTACAAAGCTACAGGATTACACCCTGCCATAGATCTGTGTGTTTAACCACCAGAGAAATAATTATTTACTGAAAATTAGTACAAGAATAATTTTATTTGGGGGGGATTAATTTCTCTCCAACCTTTTCTGTCCTTCTTGCACAAGGCATGTGTGAATAGGATTCTAAAAATAATAACAAACCTACAAGAATCAGTTCAAGTCACCACCTGCTTCTTCCACCACAGAGGACTTGCTGTTCTTGCAACAAAGTCTGTCACATTTGAGGTGGGTATTTACCTGGTAATAGGAACGGTGCGCTCCTGAGTGCTTTCATCTCCAGCAGCTGTCTCTTCATGGGAAGGACCGGGGCTGGGCTTTGGCACACTCGGTTCTTCAGCTGGAATCTGCGTTTGTGCTTTGTCTGGCAGCAGAAATAGAGCAAGTTAGATGTGTCACCTATGATGGCACACCCAAAACCCAGAGCAAACCTTTGGAGCCATCTCTAGTCTGCCTTGTGTCAGAGCCGAGTCCGCCTGACCTCAGCTGAGTGCGATCACTGAAGCTAAGAGGAGAATTTTGCCCTTTTGAGAAGACCATATGAAGCAAAGGGCTTGAATAACATCAAACACCATCAGTGAACTGAGTAGCCTTACATAAATGTACAACTGGTGGTCAAGGCAGGCCCTGGCTGAGGGTACAACTAATATGGAGGATACAACCCCATATTTAGAGGTATGCTAATATGGAGGACCTGCTGATGTCATAGCATAAGCGTCGGTGCACCTCCACCGAGTTCTTTGAAAATGTCCTCGTGCAACTCTAAGTTACACCAGAACAAGTTTTGGCATCTGGGGCTTATAGGAACAAGGAAATGAAAAGATGGTGCAGCTCAATGGCAGTTCAGGCATTGTTCATCTTTTATTATTAATTATTTTATTGGATATGTCTCCAAAAACAGGTTTGATTTTCCATTCCAAAAATACTTGATTGTCTTTTGATATTGACCATTGGAGTTAACCCATAGGATAAAGTGCATTATCTCCCTTTTTATCTGAGGAGAAAAAGTTAAATCAAGAGGAGTCTTCTCCCCAGCAGGAA